GGGGCCCAGCCACGGCGGGAGCCCCGCGCCCTCCTGGCCGCCCGGCCATCGAAGGCAGAGCGCGATACCCCGCGGGCGAGGAGCCGCGGCGGGGTGCGGCGGAGGGGGCAGGCCGAAAGTTGCTTCCCCAGACAAGCGGCATCCTCTGTGCCTACCGACAGCACCGCTGGAGGGAGGGAGCGCGGATCTCCCGCATTCGCCCTGGCCGCGATAAGCTGTAGCAGCCGCTACATCCATTTCTGTGGGGCACTGACAGCTCTTGTCTTCGCCTGGGAGTAGTGCCTTGGTTTGTATCTAATTTTGTTTAAATTCCCCCCTACAGACACTTTTATGTGGAGGGGAAGGTGGGTAATGATTAAAAAGTCACCAGGCTGTTACTGATCTCGTGTGCTGAATTCCTAGTAGTACTTATTTTCTGCTTCCATCTGGTCTAAAGGTGGTGCTTAAGGCACGTTGCTCTTAGCAACCGTCTTCAGGAATGCTTGTTTCTTTGGACATGGCTAAACGGGTCCGTACATCATTGCGGGGTTTATTTTGCATTCAGTCTGATCCATACTCATTGCCGTGAAATTAGTGCTACAGTGCCTGTAACCTGGCACTGTCCGGCTGTCTGTCCTTCCACGAACCGGGATTCATAACCGGTGCCGAGGGTCGGTCTCTAGGAGTCTGAATTACTTTCAAGGGTGGCTATGTAAACAAACATCTTTCCAACCACACCATTAGCAAGAGGTGTGCTTTCCTCCTTTAGATTAGATTCTCTCTGAATCGTTAGTCCAGTGTACCTGTAGAGACAGCCCTGGAGAGCAGCGTTTTGATAATGATTAGAATAATAAATAATCCGGACACTGAAGGGTGGTGCAGCGGGACTCTGGCTCCCGGTGACATGGTCGCGCATGCATGGATTTTCCTAGGCTACCTTCCCTTCCCAACTGCCTCCTGGTCCCACGGTCGGTTAACGGCTCGTGCTCACTCCATTGTTTGTAGAAGCAAAGTATGAGTCCGCTTCTGAACTACGGCATGTTTTTTCTTGTCTTTCTAAAGAATTGTCGCCAACCCATCTCTGAGCCTTAGAAGTAGGTAGGGAGCGGCTGGTTGGTTTATTTTAGTATGGAAAATGTTAGACGTAAGAAAGAGCGAGGAAGACTTTTGCCCTGCTCAGCCGGGCCTGTTGCACGTCTCTGTTTTAAGGAGTCTGGATTTAGCCTAGTCCAGGTGTGGAGTGACTCTGTCTCTGACAGCGAGAGAACTCCCGCTCCTTCCCCAGAGGCTGACATCTCTGCCTCTGTGTGGGGCTTGGTGGGGAGGAGGGAAGGGGCAGGGAGTGAGCGGTGGAAAAGCTTTGCTTATTTCTGAGAGGGGAATTCCCCGCCGCCCCCTCCGGGTTCCTATGCTGTCTGTCCCTTCGGGATGTCCTTGCGACCAGAAGGACGGGATGCGGTGCCTTCCCGTGGAGTCCTTCCCGAGGAGAAGCGAGAGCTGAGGAGATTCCCTCCAGAAGGCAGCCTGCCAGCCCCCGCTCTTCTTCCTCAGCCAGCAGCGCTATGGCAACAGGGGAGAGCTTGAAGCCTGCCAGAGCTCCAGCCCCCTCATTCCTCCTGTGCAAATTAACCACCATGGATTCGCATTGTCCTTCCCACGGCTTCTCTCATTGTTGGGACTAGCCAGCATGTCCTTTCTCTCTCTCTTTCTCGCTCTTATGCTACCTTTTAGCAATCACACGGGGAAGTCGAGCCGCCTGGCTTATCTGTCAGATGCGGGGAGGGTATTTTTGCTTGCGCCTTATGGAGCAAACACGGGGAGAGGCTGGTGCGATGGCGTAATTCCCTCCCCAGAGGCGCTCACTCAGGCATCTGCACGCCCGCCTGCTGCTGCTGGAGTAGGGCAACGTGGTATTTGGGCATCACACCAGGCGCCCTTTCTAAATGACACCTTGCCCCCCATTAAGGGGCATGCGGCCAAGCTCCTTCCCTTGACTTTTCTGAATAGCTTCCCATAAGCAAGCCCAGGGAACGCCGAGGGTGAGGCTTGTGCCCACGGTACTCGAAGGTTTCAAACGGGAACAGTCCTAAACCCTTGCTGCGGAAAAAAGGGCAGGTCCCAGCTTGACGACGGAGAAAAGCAGCAGCCTAGTATTTGTCTCTCCGCTGCGCTAAGTGTGATCGAAACCTTTTCCTTATCACTTGGCACCGTACAAAAGCCAAAACACGTGGCCGCCGCCAGATCCGTTCCGTTATCGGGGATCACGTTTCCTAGCTTCCCGATTCACTGCTCCTGTGTAAGAGCAGATCCAGAGCAGCGGCTCCCCAGAAGCCAGGTAGCTCGGCAGATCAGATACGATCCGATCCGATCCGATCCGATCCGATCCGATCCGATCCAGCCCAGCCCAGCCCCCGACGGCTGGGCGCGGCAAGCGGCCAGGGTCCAGCCTCAGCCTCCGCCCCACCACCTTTTTGTAGGCCCCCTCGCTTCTGCCTTTACCTCCCTCGGGATTTCCCAGCACTTTGCCCTGTAAGGCTGAATCAATAAGCCATCAAGAGCTGTTAATCATCAGTAGCTGCTCACCTGTGTTTCTAGAAACCCGCCCCTTCTCCTTGCCCAAAGCAGTAAGAGCCCGGGCTATTTAAAACCCCTCTTTCCTTACCTATTCTTACACGGGGCATGAATGTCAGTTCTTTGAAATCTGGAGCACTCTAAAATACCCTCCCTTATTTAAATTGCCCCTTTCGGGCATTGTCTCTGCTGCCGTGAGTAATTTGTCTTCCCACAGCAAAGGTGTGAAGAGAGACCAGAGACTGGAAGGTGAAAGCAGTTTGGTCGTTGCGTTTTCTTATTCTCTCAGGTAACTCATTATTCGTGACAGTGTGGTGAAAGACTAAAGACCTCCACCGCAGGGGGCCCACTGGCCTGATAAGTGTTTCCCACTTTGTGAGAAGTTTTGTTTTCTCTAGCACATTCAAAAGGAAGGGTAAAGAAATGTAGAGGGCCGTGTCTGTAGTCTCAACTTTTTGTTGCTTTGGAGTTGCCTGACTTCAAGCAGATGGGAAGGGAGCTGAGTGTTGTGGGTTACAATGAACATTAAGGGCAGGGCGGGGTCTTCTTCCAGGTTAAAAGCAAAAGAAAGCCAAGAGAGAGATGGGAGCGCTTTTCAAAGAACGAAGGGAGAGTTTTGAACTCTTACCAGAAACATCTCCTACTACTGACTTATTTTTTTTTTCCTACAAGAGCACACACCACGCTTTTACAAAGCTAGCACTTTCCTGGTGCCCTCCAAATAATAATAATAACAATAACTACAAAACAAAGCTGTATATGATCATGTAATCTTTGGGGCTGAAGAAAAAAAAACAACTTTTCTCGACCCCATTGTGGGAACCCGGAGAGGGGAATTACTGTACACTGAAGACTTCCTCTGTGAAGATTTAGCACGGGTTTCATCTGACGTGCTTCTTAGCTGAACTCCTTTGGCTCAAACAGATTGAGTTTGTCTCCATATAACTGTTTTTATGAGATGGAGTGTGGCAAAACCATAGAAGAGGCCAGCTCATTGCGTCCACTGCTTGTGCAGTTGCCAGAGAGTGTTGAACCACAAGTTTCTGGGTTTCGGGTTTCAGTTGACCATTTTAACATAGTAGCATATAAAACCAGTGAAGTCATGGAACAGCAGTGAGAGCTAGCTCTGTGCAAAAGGGTATGAGACAAGAGTTCAAGTGAAAAGTACCTGCTGGGTAATCATGTAGAGTTTTTTCCTAGACTGGACCTGCATTAGCTCTCCTGAACGTGAGCTTTCTTTCCTTTGGATTTTGCACTGACACCCTTTTAGTGGAAGGAGGTAACCTTTCTGTCTGTATTTAAGAGAGAAAT